CGAGTAGCTGCGAGTCCAGCGCCGAGCGCCCATCACAATAACGACGCCAGACGTCCGCACGGCGCCTGCTTTCTGCGTTGCAGTCCAGCGTTACGATGCCAAGGAGCAGATGATAGTGTCGAGTGGTTCAATGCTGTCTTCCCGGCACGTCCCGCGGCGCGTCTTGGCAATGCGCCTCACTCCATTGTTTGTCTTGGCTGGCGATGCGGAGACTGCTCGCCGTGGAAAGTCGTAACGGTCTCCGTCTTCTTGGTGTCTGCATAGGCTCAGCTGCATGGTGGTTCGTCTTGCTGCCAGCGTTTCCTCTGGCCAAACACTACTGAATTGATCTTTGTTAGGCACCAGCGCCAGCAATGAGACAAATGAGACAACTTCACCACTCCGCTCTGCGTAATAAAATAAAATAAAAATAAGCATGGGCATAGCCCCCACCTTGTGCTCATTACTCAAGCAAACAGGGCATCAAATACGGAAAGACGACACGAAAAAAAAAAACAGACACACATAGACCCCTAGACAGAGTTCCTCGAGAAATATACAACATGCCGTCAATGCCCCCGCGGTTCACCCTCTTAAACCAAAAGCTATCAGCCTCCTCGACAACAGCCATCCATCACCAAAAATATCCATCTACAACACTGTCAACCAGTAGTGCCCGCTTACAAACCACATCACAGCCATCTATCTCCTCGTCGCCCTCCAAGCCCCCCGCCCCGCTGTACCTGCACGCGACGCTCAGGGGCAAGCCCATTAAAGGCATGGGACACCCTTCCCACGCCGCTCCTCCTCGGGCCCACGCTTGACGTCGGATGCGGCCCCGGCCTACGGCGCCGACCTCTTCAGCGCCGCCGACCAGACCGGCAACGCCCCCGGGGCGACGTACAAGAACCCCGCGGCCATGGGCGTCATTATGGATTTTGTAGTAGCATAGGACGGCGTTGGAGGAATGTGGCACGAGGGACGTGCCTGTTTCGCTTTTGGGCTTCAGCTTGATGTACGGGATTCTGCTGTGTCAGTTGTTGACTGACACGAAGCCCCGGTGACATATTTTTGGCGTGTGCGCATTAAAGAACGGTGGCCTCTCTCTCTCTCTTTCTCTCTCCTTTTTTTTTTTTTTTTTTTTTTTGAGTGGCAAAGCTGATTTACGGACTGCATTTTGCTAATTTCTAAGATATTATGGGAAGAATTCCCCCCTCTTCTGACCGAATGCCCAGCATGTGACTTGAAACCACAACGTTACAAGCATGGAAAATCACGCCTTCGTCGCCCATCAGTCCGAGGACCACAAAACACATGGATACAATCATTCATGTATTGAATACTCATTAGTGCTACCAACACCAGTCTAGACTCGTGTCCAACGTCCATCCCGTGTGTTCATCATCTACACCATAATGCTATATGCTAACCTTTTTTGCATGGCTTTACCGGCCCTCGTAGTCACAAGCCCTATCCAGAAGAAAAGTCACCCGCAAAATTCGCAAGCGGCGTGATGGATTCCACGGGCCGCTTGCGGTCCGTTCAATCATTTACTCGGTCTTGCCGACGTCGTTCCTTGTTCAACATGACAATCTTTCTATGTTGATCGGTTCTTACGGTCACTACACAACAGTAAGTAAATTGGTCACCAAACCCGAAAAAAACGGCACAAAGACACTTACGTGCTAAGTCTCCGAGAAAGCTGGTGCAGCTTCTTATCATTATCAGCCTCCTGGGCCGCCTTTTGCAGAGCAGTAGCCCGCTCCTCCTCCTGGTGCTTCACGACCTCTTCGTGGCTGGGAGGCAGGCGTTCGTTTTGCAAATCAACCTTTCGCGCATCCTCAAACGAGCTTATCGCATTCTTAATACCTTCAGCGCCAAGCATGAGCGTGCCTGCGGGCAGCCTGCCTCCGGAGACAGTTTTGAGCTCGGTAACCTTCTCGGACTCCTCTCGAAGCACCTGGAAGACGCGTGACATGCGACCAATAGCCAGAATCTTGTTCTTGATCGCTCTCCGCTTAAACTCGATCGAATTGGGGTCATCGCCTACTTGAGAAGTCGTTGGCGAGTGTGGGCTGGTCGAAGATGGCGTCTCCTCCTTGAGCTCCTCTTCAGAGCAGGTGCTGAGAATGGCAATCAACATATCCGTAATCTTCTCACCTACGAATGGCAGAGACCACGTGAAGACGTCCATAAAGTTGGGCAACCAGTATGGATGAGGCGTGCAGTTGAACTGCCGGATGTTCATGACGTTATTTTCGTATTTGAGCACCGCGGCCTTGTTGTTATACACGTCAAGATAGTTGGGAGCAGAAAAGATGGTCATGACGCTGGGGAAACCGGTAGTACGCGTCTTTCGATACATGCGGTACCCAGCATCTTGAGCCTCGTGTGCCCGGATAATGGATAGGAGGTTGTTTTTCTCGAGGAATGCGCAAGCGGCGTGGTATGAAAAGAAGTATGAGCAGCCGCGCACGTGGTTGTGCAAGAAGAAGTCGGTCGTCTTTTCCTGGCCAAAGTCTTCCAGGGGGTCTGCCCAGAGAATATCGCACATGAGACCTTGTGTGGGAGGCTCTCGGAACCGGTCAATCTGTCGGAGGTTAGCTTTTTTGGCAGGGAGACGTGGGCTTCTCTTCACCCATATGCAATATACGCACATTTCTCAAGTCGTCAAGTGTATGCAATTCAGGGCTGAGGCCACCATGGATACACAAAAACTGTTTGTTCATCACAGCTGCCAATGGCAAGCTGCAGAAAGACTCCATGCAGGCATCGTAGACAGCCTCCGAGTACTTGTGCTTGCACTCGAGCTTGAAAGTGAAGTAGTCGGTCAAGTGGCGGCACTCGTGGTTTCCTCGCAGCAACCATAGAGTATTAGGGTAGTGAATCTTCAGCGACCATAGATACAGAACGCATTCGATACTGAAGTATCCTCGGTCAACGTAATCGCCCAGGAACAGGTAGCGGGTCTCGGCTGGGTCGCCACCGACTTCGAATAGCTTCATCAAATCGTAGTACTGGCCGTGAACATCGCCACAGACAGTGATAGGGGCGTCCATCTCGAGGAGGTTGGGCTCGTTCTGCAAGATTTCGGTGCCCTTGCGAAGAATCCAGAGTGCTTGTTCCTCGGTCAGGCGACCCTCGCGGTAGAAGTGCTGCTTGAGAAAGGCGATGTCGGGTTTGGAGTGAGTGTCATCTTGGAAAAACTGTTCTTCGGTAGGCTTGGTCATGGCGGGCGCTTGAACATCTGCATCATGGCAAACAGTGATTAGTCTTGGTATGCTGCTGGCATTTTGACCTCGGCATTTGCCTCACGTGGCAGAAAGAAGGCGCGTCCAACGTGTGGCGGGTAAAGAGGCCAACGAACCTTTGCACACTCTCTCCAACGTGCTCACTTGCGTGCCATCTTCCATGGTGTGGATGGTGAAGTCAATCTCGGGGACGGGCTTCTTCTCTCGAATGGCGCGAATGGCATTGTCGACTTGCTGGTTGCGACGCACGTCGGCGTGGAGAGGCTTGCTGTCCTGCTCCATAGCGAAAGAATACTGCAAGGAACTGCAAGAAATGAAAATGCAATCGTAGACAAGTAATCTCGGTAGAAGGAGGCGTGGAGTATCAAGCCCGGACAAGACACCCCAAAGTCCTCGAGGTCGAGACGGCGTCAATCAGGTCAGGTGTGGTGGCGGTGAGGGGTCAGTGTCGCGGAACAGCTCGCGCGGAGAGAAGACGTAGGCGGCGCGACAGAAAGGAGCTCACGGCCAGCGAGAGGTTCAGTCGGCGACTTGATGGGAGTCTGTCTTGTGCGAGAAAGCGACAAGGACAAAGGCAGCCAGATGCTGGGGAGGACGTGACGATACAAAAAGTAGGGCTGACAAGGGCAAAAGAGGTTGCTGGGTTGGGCACGGTGCGAAACATGGAAGAGAAACATTGAATGCACCCACCTTGTAATGTTGGCGAAGCTGGCGGGCTCATGGCGGCACTGGGGCTACCGACGGCAGATGTTAGTTACCTCAGTGCTAGTAATAGTTGTCTGGCAGACCCATTTGCCAGCAGCAGGAGCAACCTGGCCAGCGCTGCGAATTGCGCCGGACCGGACTCAAGTGCTGCCCAATCAACGCAGCTGCCAATCGACTTCACATGCACCGGACACCATATGCAATGATTGATGCAATGGTTGCCCCTATGATTTAGTGCCCATAGGCCTAGCCGTGCTCTCTCCAGGGCTACCAGTGCAGCCCGGACCGTCTCCAGGTGCCCCTAGGTGTTTCAGCAGATCAATTCAGATCAGACGGTCCAGTCCGTCAATGCAACGGGGCAACATGCATGTGTTGGTGCATCTGGAGTTTTTCAACCACCACCCGTCTGGTGCGTCAATAAATCTAATAATATAGACATGAATAAAAGCATCATCCACTACCGTTTCAGGCGGCGCGAAATAATATGACCAGGTCCGCAAACAGGGCGGTGCAATTGCCCAGGTACCTACGGAGTAGTAACTCACCAGCTCGGAACACGAGCTGCCAGCACTTGAGTTGACCACTTGGCTTGTGCCAGTAATCAGGGGTCAGCACCTCGAGCACCGCAGATATTATTTGCTCGCTTCGGTTTTTTAATGTTTCTTGGCTCCGTCGAACGGCTGGGAGGGATACAATCTTACCCCGCCAGACCAGTACCTAATATTACCCCACTTTCTCCCACAGTCCTGGAGGCCGCTCGTTCGCCAACCAGGCTGGTTGATGTCATCTGCTTCAAATGCCACTAGTGGCTCGCTTTTGTCTCAATTTGGCAACCAGTCGACAAGCCCAGCCAACAAGCCGACCACACAATCTTTCAACGGCCATACTCCATCATGCATACATACATGCAGTTTTTTTAGTTTTTTTTTCCACAGCGCAGTTTTGCAGGTCGATTTCAAATCAAGTCTAGAAGGTATTCATCGTGTTCTAGACCATCCGTCTGTTATTATCACGACGCACAACATCAAGACTGTCATGCACATTTTGCCCGTCAGCGAGAAGAATCTACAGCAGGGAGTATCCCCCATCCACAATCATATCCAAACCGGTGATATAAGACGCCGCATCACTCGCAAGATACAAATACGAACCCTTGAGCTCGCTTACTTGCCCCTCGCGTCTACAAGCCCATGGTCAATTAGTAACAGCTCACGGCCAAATACCTCCAGCAGTCATACTTACCCCATGGGAATCTTATTCTTCCGCTGCTCTTCCGTCTCGGCTTCGGCGAAGCTCGAAACCTCTGTTTTAATATATCCCGGCGAAACGGTATTGACACGCGCAAACCCTGTCCACTCCACCGCAAGACTCTTGCAGAAGTGAATGACGGCAGCCTTGGACCCGTTATACACAGCCTGCAGCTTTGGCACATTCACGATCTTTCCGCTCATCGACGCCGTCGCTATGAAGCTACCGCAGATATAGTTCTCCAGGGGCTTGCCGTCAATCGTCTTGCCCTCTTTCTTCTGTCGTCGGAAGTGAATGCCCGCGCTCTTGGCGCACCACATGACTCCGTCGACGTTGACGGCCATGACTTTTTTGGCGGTTTCAACGTGTCCGTCGAGGAATGGCCCGTCTTCCCAGGCGATGCCCGAGTTGGCCACGAATATGTCGAGGCGGCCATTGAATTCGCGGATGATTTCACCAATGGCCTTGTCGACGGCATCGGCGGAGATGACGTTTACTTGGTACGCTTTACCTACATGACCCGCCATGTCAGTGACTTTGCAACATCCTGGGCCGTCGTGCTTCGGGAACACGCACACTTGACGCTGTACGTCTTTTGGATATTCTCTGCTTCCGTGACGGCCTGCTTGTTGCTATTGTACCAGATGGCCACGTTGGCACCGGCCTCAGCAAATGCCTGAGCCACTCCAAGGCCGATGCCTGCTCCCGCACCAGACACAATTGCTGTCCGGCCCTTGAGTGAAAACATGGGCAGGACACGGTCTCCCTTGGGGATGTCCATGTTGTCGTGCTCGAACGCACCGTTCTTCATGTCCGTGGCCATCTTGTAGCGTTTGCGTTCGAAATGTTCCGTTGACCCGTGCGAGTATGGTTCAAGTGCTCATGTCCAAGGTGGGAATCACAAATTACCCCGACAACCTCCACAGCGCGGACGACTCGTCTTATTTGCGTTTCTTACCCGTCGTACTCATGTACATACATCATACCGTACATGAGACATTTACCGCGCAGCCCCGTACGTGACCCATCGCAGTGCTTCCCCAACTTGTCTGCCTGACTGTCTACATACAACTCTCCATCAGACAAGATGCGTGTTGAAACAACCCGTTGGCCCTGATATCTGTTTGGTAGTTCTCTAAATTTTCCGTGGACGTTTCGTGACTCGTGGGCCTATCAAACATGGGCCGCAGGATTGCTGTCACCCCGGGCAAGCAGCCAGTGATGCCAAGCGTTGCGGTTCCCCTGCCCTCTACAACAGTCGTTCAGCAGCACCAGACCTCTGACGCAGATCGCGGGACAGGGTCTGAGTTTGGAAGTCGGGTTGTCTGCAATCTCTCGTCGGTGAATGTGCGGGGATGCGACGGCGGGGCACCATACAGATAGTACTCCGACTTCGACGGGGAAGAACTCGGCACAAAAAAAAGAATGGTCAAGTTGGAGGATAAATTCGCCGGCGTGGGGTGCTCACGGGCAACATGGGAAGATGCGCAGATAAGTACGTTGCTTATTGATATCCATAGGATGGTATTCAGCTACAAAAATCGTTGGTCTATATGTCTGGGTATCAGTTGTCAATGTACCGAGCAAGTCTATGCCCAAGCTGGCTCAGAGCTATTTCAGCTGCATATTTGCCGCAATGACTTCACTTCTGGGGAAGTTGGAGGTTTTCCACCTAGAGATAAAGTCGTCGCGGTTGACTGGGGCACCATTAGCATTGGAGAAACCGTTCGTGAGTCGGCCATCACTTACTATCCCCGCCACATATACGGCGCAGTCCCTCGAAAGCGCTTCGGCCGTGGAGAACCCGCCAGTTATCAAAGACTATAGTCGTCAGCAAACCCAGTTTCGTAACATACAAGGCAGCTGAGATTAACATACTGAGAACTCGGCCCGGTTCGAGCTGGAACCAGTATTCGTTCTGTTTTCGCCTCAGAATGCTGTCCCATCTCCGAGCTGCGCTGTACCACTTGTCCACATTCACATTCAATGGAACGACTCCTCTGTCGTCATTGTTCCAGCGCACTCGATGGAATTTATACGGTGACGCTTCAATCACAGGATAAGCTCTGTCGGGGGCAATGGCTACACCATCGTTTCCGCTCGCATGCCAGGGGAGTCTGACTTCTCGGAGGGTCTCATATGCCTCGGGGTATTCTTTCTTCAGCCTATAGGCAGCATAAAATCCGTCCACAAGAAGAGATTGACCACCTAGGCTGCTGTCGTCATTTGCCTTATTGGGCGGCGATGTGTGGGACAGCATGTGGAAAGCTTGTAGGCCAGCTGGTTCAGTAAAGTACGTCGTGTCAGTATGCGCAGCAAGAGCCAAGTTGGTGTAAGCCGTATCAGCCTTGGCCAAATCCGGGACGAAGTCGTAGAAGCCTCCGTAGTGAGTGTTGCGAATGGGGCCAATGGCCTCTAGAAGTTCATTCGTAGCCTCGGGTGTCTTGGGGGTGTTGGTGACAAAACATATACCATAGCCACGCTGTTGATGTTAGCATAAGTCCCTTTTGACAGAACGTACGACTTACAATCTTTTCAGTTAAATCCGCCATCCCAGATACGTCGCCCTTTGCCATGACACTGTCAAATGACACTTCTGGGGGGTTGGATGCTATGGAAGCGTTCCAGAGTGTCTGGTCACTACAAGAGGTCAGTGCTTACTTGCGGAAACTTTTTCTTCTTCTTTTTTTGTGAACTTTGAGTGATGAAAAGCTACTTGCCCTAAATTTTTCAGCTTTTTGTTTTCGACGCCGTAAACTGCGGACCGCAACCACGCCCACGAGTAGCTACTTTGGTGAGAGTCGGACCCTTTCGGCCAACGGTCAGCGTGGAGGAAGCCAGAATTCGTGTCGACAGGTCCTACATGTAATTTCAACTCCATCTTGGTTTTGATGAATGGATTTGGCGGCAATTTTGTCTGATATCTGTTTGTAGTCAGTATGACGGAACGCACCTGGACAAGAGCTAGAAAAGAGCGACATACTTGGAACGTATTGAAACTTCTCTGCATAGTGTCTTGATTAACACATTTTACACAACGACAGTTGTCGCTGAATTAAGTTAGTTTGAGCTATCCGCTCGTATGGCGTCTCGTGCTCACACATACCGGAGCCAAAGTTGGGACCTTGACGGCGTGTTAGTGTTGGCTCAATACGCCACCACGAGATCGAATATGCTTACAATCGCTTTGGGCTCGATTTTCCACCCTCGCTAACTTTCAGAACCAAGCCCTTGCTGTTCGATTCCAAGGTCGTGGCGTAACTGCGGAAATCATGTTGCACGCGCGGAGCTCGTCTCGTCATTCTCGGGCCTCGGCTTCCAAAAAGCCTTCAGCACGTCAGTCAGAGCACACAATGCCCTCCTCGGAATGCGATGCATGCCTACCTCAAGGCTCTTATGGTAGGACCAGATGGGAGAGCCATGTTTAGCTATTTACTTTACGGCCCGCCAGGTACACTGATATTAGGGGCGTGGTAATGTAAGTCGTCGGTGGGCGAAAACTCTATGGGGTACTAAGAAAAAGCTGGGGTACGTACGGAGTAAGTCAGTGATTCAATGGTGGTCAATGAAGTGCTGGATCAAACGCCCGGCCATGCACATTGGAACATTGAACCAACATGAATTGAATGGCCTGTGGGCACTGGGTCCACTCCTGCTGAGTCTGGTGGCTTCCGCTGTTGCACCAGACTGCTGCAGGTCGACTGTGGCACCTCAAGTGCTGCCTGGCCTGCAGAGCACGTGAAAGCTTCCAAAGGCAACACAGCACTGAGGGCCCACCACTGCCAGATGGCTGGAGCGTTGATAATCCGACGGGGCATGACATAAGCGCATTGATTGCTTCTGAACTTCTTGACAACCAGACACATAAACTTGCGAGAGCTGCGTCAGGCCGTTGCACCCACCTCCCTAACAAAACTTAAAATCAGTTTCGCTCTGCTTCGTAGCATTCCGAATGGCCAATCTCTCAGACGACTCGCTTTAGCCGACGCACAATCATCATCTCCCTTCGTATCCACTGCCCATGTCAACCCCTTGAATCGCTAAGGAATCTCCAATGATCGATCATTGCACCTTCCCATGGTCGGATTCCGACAGCTCTTAACACCAACTTCTAGCAGCATGAATTCACGGCAGCCTCATTTCAAAAATTTTTATGACGATCGGGTGGGGGCTCATCGCCACGTTCAGTCTCCGGAGCGCATCTTGGATCGCTTCAACGAACCAACCATTATTATAACTGCGGTCGTGCTCTTCGTCGCATGCGTGGCCAAGGCCTACAATCTAGAGCTGTCTCTAGACGCCATATTTTACACTGCAACAACATATTTGTGGGACTTTGTCGTTTTCATTGTACCAACTCCATTCATCGTTGTTCTCGACAACTGGCTGAGCCCGAGCTCAATGTCAGAATCGCCGCCAAGTACACATGCCGCCAAAAGCAAGGCCATGAGGAGGCTCATGGGTCTGGACCGCTCAGGCGGCATGATGGAATCAGTCTTTCAAGCTAGAAGCAGGGCCTTGTCTGTCACAGGTTGTGTTCTGGGCTTGAAGTTGGATCCCGAGCGGCCGGCTGGTTTGGGTAACCGCGATAATTCTTGTTATCAAAACAGCATCCTGCAGGGGCTCGCGTCGCTTCCCTCGTTCCCCGAGTATCTGTCAACATGTGTACGAGCTATTGACACGCATCGACCAACCAACGACGTAGCCCATACGCTGCGGTCCCTTATTTCCGACTTAAACGACACATCAAATAATGGAAGAACGATATGGACTCCTAGCTTACTCAAATCTATGAGTACCTGGACCCAACAAGATGCTCAGGAATACTTTTCAAAAGTCCTCGATGATATTGACAAAAGCGTGGCCAGAGCCGTCAAATCCATGCGCCGGTATTCAGGGCTAGAAGCAGACTGCAACAAGGACGACTCTTCCACAAGCGAGCACAGTGATGACAGCGGATACCAAAGCCTTGCTTCGAGTTCGGATTCGGCGGCAAAGAAGACGTTGCGAAATCCACTAGAAGGACTATTAGCACAGCGTGTGGCCTGCGTCCAATGCGGTTATTCCGAGGGCTTGTCCATGATTCCATTCAACTGCCTGACCCTCAGCCTGGGCCTGGATAAAAATCAACATGATCTCTATGAGAGACTGGATTCATATAGCAAAGTCGAGGCAATTGAGGGAGTCGAATGTCCCAAGTGTACCCTGCTTAAGGCCCAGAGGCTGCTTGGTAAACTGATCGAGAAGCTGAAGGAAAATGGTTCCAGTTCGGAGCAAATGGAGGAGCCTCTTCGCAGGCTCGAGGCAGTTGAGCTAGCTCTTGAGGAAGATGATTTCGACGATAAGACGGTTTCCGAAAAGTGCAAGATTTCGGCCCAAGGAAAAGTCAACACGACCAAGACGAAGCAAATAGTGATTGCGCGTCCGCCAAAAAGCCTAGCGATTCATGTCAACCGATCCGTGTTTGATCCACGAACGTTTGACATGATCAAAAACTCAGCACCCGTCTCCTTTCCCCTGACCCTGGATCTAGGACCGTGGTGCTTGGGTAGTGCAGAAGATGTCGAGGAAAAGCTAGCCAGCCATGGCGAATCCAGCGAGGAACAGTGGTTGTTGGACCCCAAATCATCCATGATTGCCGGAGATTTGAGCCCGTCCAGGTTGACCGGACCCATATACGAATTGCGAGCTGCGGTGACGCATTACGGACGTCATGAGAACGGCCACTACATCTGTTATAGAAAGTACCCTGATTCGGAGGTTTCTTCAGACAAAGACTCGTCCTCCGCCGATGTCGACGACACTATTGACCGGGATACAACG